CCACCCCCCTGGGAAGGGTTTGCCGCGAGACCCGATAAGTGTGGCGCCCCGGCCTGGTGCTGGGCCCGGAAGAAATTGGGACATGCCCCCTACCCTGGTCCCGGCACCAGGAACCTTCGGGACCATGTCCTTTCTCCCTGGAGGGGGCATCGAGGGAACTTCAAGGCCAAGCGCCCCAACCCTGGGCACCAGGCCAGGGGACCATAAGGCCTGCAACCCTCACCCAGCAGGACTTGACGGGGGACCTCAAGGTGCTCCCCCTGCCCTGGTGCTGGGCCAGGGGACCTCAGGCCCGTGTCCCCCACCACAGCATCAGGACAGGGGACCTCAGGCCGCTACCCCCGCTGGCGGGGCTTGACAGGGGACTTCAAGGCCATGCCCCTGCCCTGGCCTGGGGACCTCAGGCTGTGCTCTCCCACCCTGGTGCCAGGCCAGGGGACCTCAGGCCGTGCCCTCCACCTGGTGGAGCTTGACAAAGGTGGGACCGGCCAGGTCTGGATCTAGCCCAATGAGGGGGGGCCGGCTGGGTCTGGGTCTCACATGATTTTGAGGTGCATGTGGGTGGGTGGGGACTTGACTTTGGGTCCTGTGGTGCACCCCAGACTCTGACAGGAGGAAGATTTTTATACACATTTTACTAATTTTCTTTCATCTCTGACACTTCTATTATAGAGAAAGGGCAAATAGCAATATTAAAATATTTCCTCTAGTTAATCTCCCTTTAATGTGCACGACTTTCATGCACCGGGCCACTAGTTCTTAGTATAAAAATCCAAGGACTAACTGATTTTAAATGATTCCCAATGAGACGAAGGAAGGATACTCATTCATTCAATTAAGATTTATTTTCTTGGGCATCTACTATGCATATATAAGTTATAGGGGATATAAACATGCTAAGACTTGGCTACTGATCTTAAGGAACTAAGTTTAGTAAGGAAGCCGTGATATATAACAAATACTTCCCTATCCTCAGGTTAACCTCTTATAATTCAACAGTATTCAGTCTGTGGCCCAGTTTGCTCTTAAATTAAGGCTTTCTGAAAGACTAACAGTCCCGTGGATGGTACAAAATATGGCTTATATCCCAGAGAATCTGAGATTTGGGAAAGAGAAATATTTAACTATGCATTTCCCAATTTATAAGGTGATAAACTATCTTATGAGCTCACTACTAAAAATTATAAGAATTTATATATCCAGATTAGTAATTTGAGGCAAATAATGCTTATAAGCCCAAATGTACAACATATTGATAGAAATGTATGTTACTATTCAACACCAACTAAAATCAAGCCTGAAATTAGACTAAATATATTACTTAGTCTTGTTGACCCCGAGAATAATGGTACCTATTAAGGAGAGCTCCTAGTGGCTGATTGGTCTCAAATTTATACACAGAGCTCAGCAGCCATTACTCAAGAGGGGCCTCTCATTCAAGTGGTACTTCAGACAGAAGCCTGAACTAAACTCCTTGTGACCTGCACTGAACTGACTTTCAGCACTGTGTTCCTGACATCTGAGCCAACTTTTACAAAGGAGTTCCTGGAATTATATTTCAACCAATAGGACTGAGACTTTCCTCAACTAATTGAAGATGTATACCTATAGCCTCATCAGCATCTTTATCAAGCAATCAGTGTGGCTCCATTCCAATCAATCAGGACAGAGCTTTTTGAACAAATCAAACTGTGAGGATTTGAACTCCTCTCATTTGCATGAGAAAAGACCAATCAGAGACCACAGGTGGGGACTTCTCTCTCTATATAAGTTCCCCTCTGACTCTTGGAGCTACTTTCTCTTTCTACCCAAGACTGCATTTCCCTAGCTGGAGCTGTACAACCCAAGCTGTCTTGCTGGAGAAGAATGGAGCTGTCCTCTCTGGGTGGGAGGAAGCCAAATAGATCAGAGCTGTCTAGGCAGGCTGGAGTGGAGCAGACAAGTCTTCCCTACTGAACTATATAAATCTTGTGAAAAAAGAAAGGGACAAATATTATCTTTCCCCATGTTATGAGGGTGTCAAATTACTCATGCCATTTCAATGCTTATCAAGGTTTATATTCCTTCTAGTTTGTATGACCTGAGACAGATAATCTGAAGAAAAAGAACAGAGGTCTTTGAATGTTAAGAGATTACCAACCAGAGAAACTTCCACTGATATTAGGTTAAGGTACTATCTTTATGATCTAACTCAAATCTGGAATAAACAAAGCCACACATGCAAGTACACAAACACATACACACAATTCTAAAAGACCCTTCAGACTAGAATTTTAATTGCAAAAGTATAATATGAAAACAGAATTAACACTTACAATAATCAAATTAAGAGTACAAACCTTAAATGGCAACATAGATAGCAGAATTATTACCCAAGTAATCCTTTAAATTTATGATCCCCAGTGGCCAAAATATTCAAAAGATAAAGATCCTCTCTTTATTTGAAGTTACTAATTTAAAAATAAGTTATCCATAAGGTATTATTACAGATTTTTAAAGTTCTAAAAGATCATTTTTACATATGATAGCCATTTAATTAAACCCTTTTATAACATTACTGACTCATTTGCAATCACTCAGTTTGGCAGACATCTCATTTACATGGGGAAAACCTCAAAAGCTATGGAAAGTAAAGGACTCTTAAATGACTTCTGTTGTATATTTTTCTTCTATCAGTATTTGACTCAGTATCCTTTATGTGTCTAGAGAATTGGTTATTTTGCAAGAGTGGCTCATTTTTCTATTTTTTTGATCACAGATATGTTCTTCTAAACTTTTTTTGGTTAATAGAAATAAGTTTTCATTCTTTTAGAAGATATGAGGTGGGTGGCAGGGGTGGATGCTCAGGAACATACTGGCCATTGTGGTCAGATGGAGAGTAAAAAACAATGAAAGTCAAGAAATACATTGTTTATACATAATGAACAATACTCTGCTTCAATTGCCCCAATTCATATTCATACATGCTATGTACATAGTCCAACTATCTATTGAATTAGCTTTCTAATCATATAAAAAACCTATTTCTAAGAATTAATATATACCACCTCTTGCCCACACCCTTGCAACTATTTATTTTTATATTTTTTATTGATTTCAGAGAGGAAGGAAGAGGAAGAGAGAGATAGAAACATCAGTGATGAGAATAATTTGATCAGTTGCTTCCTGCATGCCCCCCACCGGGGATGGAGCCCACAACCCTGGGCATGTGCCCTGACCCAGAATTGACCAGTACCTCCTGGTTCATAGGTCAATGCTCAACAACTGAGCCACACCGGCCAGACCCCTACAACTAGTTAAAAATTTCTCCTCCTATAGTGTTCTCCATAACAGTTAACAGTGTCACAAACCTCTGGTCAATTGGTTTAGGAACCTCAGAATCATGTTTGAATAATCACTGCTAACCTACTAAGCCCTGTATATGCTACTTCCTTATCTCTCATTATTAAATACTTCTTTCCATTCCTTAGTCTCTCTATTGCCAACTCTAAAAACAGAACAAAGCTTGGGTCTAAAGAAAGAAAAAAAAAACAGGCTTCCAGAGAGAGAGCTTGAGGGCTTTAGTACAAGTAGCCCCTGATATTTATATTGGTTGCTCAGTGATTGCTTACTTCCGGAATCCTGTCTTATGCTCTGAATAACTGAGGTTGCCAGATAAGATTTATGTATAAACTAGACCCTCTTCTAAGTGCTTTACATGCATTAACATATTTCATCTTCACATCAACCCTATAAGGTAGGCATTGCTGTTATCCCATCCTATATAATAAAGAGGTAATATGCAAATTGACCCTTGCTCCATCATGCCATCACATGATGGCTGTGCCCACAGTGGAGGCAGGGTTCTTGTAACACAAAATGGTTGCACCCACAGTGGAGGCAGGGCTCCTGTAACGAGCCAGAATGAGCGATCAGCAGGGACCTGAGGCTGTGTGGCACCAGGCTGCGGTGGGGGACCTCAGGCTGTGCACCCTGCCCAGTGGAGTTTGACAGGGGACCTCAGGCTGTAACCCCTGCCTGGCAGGGCTTGACGGGGAACCTCAGGCCACGCCCCCTGCCCAGCAGGGCTTGAAGGGGGACCTAAGTCCATGCCCCTCTGCCCAGCAGGGCTTGATGGGATACCTCAGGCTGCACCCTCCACTTGGT